ATGTGTATATACGTAGCAACTATAATTTCAATTTACAAAAAGACTTTCTCACCATGTCATTGAAGGAAATGTTTGATAAATATGACTAGAGGAAAACTAAAAACTTTATTGCAAGAATATATAAATAGTTGTACATGATTCTTACCATGTGTGCGTGACAAGTTACTTCAATCATGTCTGACTCTCTGTGAGCTGTGGACTGTAGCCTGCCATGCTCCTCTGTCCTTGGGGCTTATCCTGGCAAGAATACTGGAGTGGTTGGTCATTTCCTCCTCCAGAGGAATCTTCCCGCCCCAGGGGTTGAACCCACGTCTCTTACGTCTCCTGCTTCGGCAGGCGGGTTCTTTACCACCTGGGAAGGCCCATAAGTCTTACCAATCAATATCAAAAAGAGGTATATTCAAATAGAAAATGAATCAAAAGATAGATGTAAGCAATATACAAAAGAAAAAATATCGAAAGTCAGAAATAGTTTAAAATATATTCAGTCTCACCAGAAAACAAAGAAACAATTTAAAAGCAAATTGAATAAGGCCAATGAAAGATAAACTGGAGAAAATATCATATATAGATATATAAATTAGAATGCTTCCAAATAAAAAAAAAATTAGAAAACTAAGAATGCTACCAGAGATGTACCCAAAAATGTAACTAATTTGCAAATTAAGAAATATAATTAGATAAGACATTTATAAAATATTTAGCCTCATTATTTATCAATCATACACATTCAATTATTTATTCATTTATCAAATTTAGGAAGAAATTTTTAATGAAGAGATTCCATGACCATAAAGCTGTGGAAAATGAGCCCTTCCAAGTGTTGCTGATTAATTATTACATATTGCATCGGTAGGCTGGCATATTGTGATGTGATAATAAGGTCAAAATTTTATATAACCTTTGGCCTCATTATTCTACTTCCAGAAATTTAACCTTAGGCAATGAACATTGATGTGAGTAAAGAGGTATCTGTAATCAGCATTGTGTGTACTGGGCAGATAGGTAGGGTGAAGGCTGGGGTGGAGACAGAATGTAGGAGATCTAAGGGGTCAAAATTCTCCTCCCTCAAAAAGAGGAAATTCATATAGCTTTTTTTCCTCTTCTCTTATTCATAATCACAGTAAAAGTAATATTAAAAATAAGCTTCAGATTCTTTTGTATGCCCAGGACTTCTACAGTTGGGTACTCCAAGTTACCATTTCATTATGATAAAGCAAATCCTTATAGGATTTAGCTGTATGAAGCAGCTTTTTAAAATGCTGTGTGGTAGTGATAGGTCCTCATTGAAAGAATAGCTAAATTCTTGAAAAGATGGACTGGCTTTTCAAATACAAAGTTAAGCAAGATTCTGCAAAAGTACAAAATCTTTCCTGAAGATCAGTTACATATTAATTATTTCTTTTTAATAGTATATTCCATGTAGGAATGAGTAAAGAGCATCAGACATCCATTTGATTGCAGGTACTTAGGAAATATAATAGTAATATCTTTATATTTATTTCATGACTTACCATGTAATCACTTACATCTAACCACTGACCTACACATAATCAGAAAATATATTCAGACCAAAATCTGTTTGGGAACACAGAGGGAAAGCCCCACATATTTCAGCCTCTCCTATTTTATAACTATATCTTAAATATATCTAAAGAAATTACACCTTAGAAATTCTCACATGTACATAGAGGTTATAGTTCAGATAGATTAAACCTTTTCTCAGGCAACATGTCCGCTATATCCAGGGATAAGTTAGTTGTAAATATGTTATTATTACCATGAAAATCCTAACAGAAAAAATAATTTTCCTCCCTGGCAATAGGAAAAAAAAAAAGAGGCTTTCAGAAACCTTAAAGCATCTGGCAAGTGTGTGTGAGGTGGCAGGCAAAAGAGGCGGGTGGAGTGGATGAAGAATAGAAATGGAATGCATTTCTTCAAAACTACCTGTCAAACCTCAAAAAGAAAAAGGAGAAACAAGCAGAATTATTTTTCTATTTTACAAAGTCAGTGTTCATAGTAGATAAACAAAATAATGATATTATCATGATTCCTGATGTCAGCACCCTTCACACAACATAAATCTTTTCTCTTGTGAGAAAAAGAGTTAATGAATACACAGAGGCAGGCTCAATGATGCCAACTTGCTAAAAGAATGTGTCTTGATGACTATCAAATGCTAAGCATAATATCAAAATTGCTGAACCATGAATATGCAGAGAATCCAAATAAATATTAGTTCATCTGGAGCAAAATTCTTAAACTCAGTGTTTTAAATGAGCTTTTGTTCTTAAAGTTTTAAGTTAAATTCACCATATAATTTTTAAATGCAAACATTTTCTGAACATATGATATAAATAATACTGAATTTAGAAATCTTTTCTCTTGGAGTGATTTTTCTACTAAATCTGCTGCCTTGACTGACTTATAAAGAAATTTTTAAATTCTCAACAAGTTGTAAGATTTCAATTTTTTGTCAATAAATACTAGGATTCTTAAGATTCTGTTGGGCTTAGTAGACTTTCTCTAATGCCATAGCTCTATACACTAACCTGCAAGCCAATTTTAATCATATATAAATAGAACCAAATCATGTTCTCATTCTTCATTTGACTCCATAGAGTAACTATAATGAAGACCTGACATTTGTTCATGTTTGACACGCATCATTTTGTAGAATCCCTTGTGTGTGTTTGTATGACAGAGATTCACTGGGTGATTTTAAAATCATATATGCACTTACCTGGCAGTAAGGTAGAGAGATGACTAGAACCTTTAAGACACTAGAGAGATTCAGATGCTCAAAAATAACTCCTGAAGAACTCTTCCCTAATTTATTCAATCATCAAGCACTTTCTGAATTTTATGTTCCTTTAGCACTCAAAAACCAATTTCTATTACATTTGTTAATTCTGCAAATATGTGTTAAGTTCTTGTGATGTGTACAGGAAATAGTACAGTGTAGAGGTTAGAACCCAGGCCTGGGCTTCAAATGGACTGATGTGTGACTCAGCCCAGCCACTTGGAGTCTTCTGACTCTGGTTAAGTTGCTTAACCTCCCTAACCTTTGTGTCATTAATCTGTAAAGTGGGACAATAATAAGTGTATCCCTATATTCAGTTCATTTTAAAATATTATTTTAAATAATAAATATAAAACTTTTAGCTCATGAGTTACGAGCTTAGTCAGTACTGGCAAATGTCACTGCTCTCTCTTATTTTTAGCTGTACCCTACTATTACCTTAGTTTTGTTGTTGTTGTTTAGTTGCTAAGCTGTGTCCTACTCTTTTGCAATTCCATGGTGCCCAGGCAAGAATACTGGAGTGGATTGCCCTTTCCTTCTTCGGGTGATCTTGTTGACCCAGGTATCAAACCTGTGTCTCCTGTATCAAACCTGTGTTTCCTGCATTGACAAGTGGATTCTTTACCACTGAACCACATGAGAAGCCCTGTACTTACTTTACTAAAGAGAAAACCAAAGATACAGAGAAACTGGAGCAGATCCCACCTGATCTTTTCAGCTTAAAGGAGAACCTACCAAAAAGATAAAATGTGAAATAACCAAATAAGTACCCCCAGATGAGTCTGTAAGGTGTGAGAACATGAGGTTCACTAGTGGGAGCACAGTGTAACAGTTAAGATTATAAATTCTGCCAGAGTCGGCTGCTTCTTTTCAAATCCTGTTCCACTACTGGCCAACTGTGTCACCAAAGGCTAGTTGTTTAACATCTCTGTGCATCTGTTTCCTCAAATGTAAGGTAAAATAATAAGAGTACACCATTTATAGGGTCACTAGGAGAATTAAATGAGGTAAAGCACTTGTAAGAGTGCCTGGCCCAAAGAGTTGACTAAATGTTAGTGACCATTACATACTTCTTTGTATCCAGCCCAAGACCTAGCAGAGTGATGTGCAACAAATATTTGTTGATTTGCTAGAAGTAACTGTATGAATACCCTACTACAGCCCTTTAACTATTAATAGAGTGTCATTAATCTGCAATTGAAGGGAAGGCATCAGAGTTTATTTCTGTGGGTGACAGAAATAAAATGGATGCTCCTGTGGCTATCCAATTTCTTCCCCTTTCTCACTAAGAAAGGGGAAGTAAACTGCAAGTTTAAGGAGAAGAGGAGTATACTGATTGAGGCCATAAAGCAGTGCATAAGGCGACATGATAAATGAAGTGTAGCCCATTGATGCTGGGCTTCCCTGCCCCTGGACTTGTTGATTTGACTAAGTCTGGTGGTAGTCCCCAAGTGTTCTGGAACTCCAAGTACATTTACTCAGTATTCTTCAAACTCTATCCATTGTCCTGTGGCATGTTCATCACTATTTCATGGGGAAAGTAAAAGGATGAGTCTTTTCCGTGGTCAAATAGTTTACTGAAATATTGACAAACAGTTAAGTAGGTTTCTCAAAGGTTTTTTTACATATGAATCTCTAGGAGAGGATGAGATGCAAATATAGCACTTCCCCCAATGTAGTCAACTGTGGAATTCTTTTCTTCTAGAAAACACATCATTATATTCTATTGCAAAGAAGCAGGTTGGGGAAATGCTGCTTTAATTGGAAGGAAACATCTTATTCGCTATATAACAAGTAATATGGAAGATATTTGCATATTTGGGCAGAAAGGGAGAATTAATGTTTTGAATACCCATGAAATGCCAGAAACTTAAACAGTTATATAATCTTTGTAGACAGTGCACTATGTTTCAAGATTTTATAGATGAAGAATTTGAAGCTCAGAGACTAAAACAAAGTCATACAGCTAGTAAGGGAAAGAGATGCCTGTTTCCATTACTTGAAATATATCTTAAACATCTGGAATTGCACTCTGGGAATAAGGAAGACTGGCAGAGAAAGGTTACTCCAGGACAACTGCAAACTGGGAGAAAGGAAGACTGGTAGAGAGAAAGGTTACTCCAGGACAACGTCCATTTTTTTTTCTTTTCATCATTTTACCCCCACAAGATGTTAACTGAAATCCACTGCGAGTAAGATGGTGAACCAGTACAGAGGAAATACAAATTGCTTGAGGACAAAGCATAAGAAATAGTCAGCACAGGAAATGCTGACTATCTTCTTTTCATATTTTAAGACCACTGTTCCTTTACCTGCCACTGAATGATTTTCACAGCAGGTACTTGAGTATTTTAGTGATCCTGGTTCCCTTTGAACAGAGAACCAGTAAAACCAAGACAGACACATTTTTTAAACTGTGTGGGTTAAAAGGGGGACTGGGTTCTGGAATTTGCCTCACACACACACACACACGCACACACACATATTCCTATGTAACATATAAATGTGTGTATATATATTCAGTCCATGACAGTTAGTCCTATTGTCCACTGAGGATGAGTAGCTTCCAACTGTGTGGCCAATGTAACCTAACAAATTATTTTCACAATTTATATATAGTTTGATTATTTAATCAGAGGGCTTGACACTGATGAATGATTTCCTGAGAGCCTACCACAGCCTCTCTCTGGAATAAGAGCACTAAAAGGGACTTTGGTGACCCGGTACTGCAGAGTCCATCCTTCTGGAGACCTGTAAGCTCAAAGGTGTAGGGCCAAGCGCAACAAAATTGCCAGGTTCTGGCTAACAGTCCACTTTTACAATACCCTGGGACATTAGGGTCAGACAAGATTATTTCTCATATGTGGCACTAATAATATAATTTGTGACTTAAAAGAAGGTTGTCTCTCTGAGTCACTGACTATTACCTACCTAATTGCTTAAAGTATATTTCCAGACAGGTGATCTGGAAACCTTTTACTTACTGTTATCTCTGAACTTTTCAAATCTTTTGACTCCTTAATGCAGCACAACTTGTAGGTTTGAGAGAATTTCCCTATACAGAACATTGTCTTATTTGATCCTCAAAATAACCTCCTAAGTAGATAGTGAAAGTGAAAGTCGCTCAGTTGTGTCTGAGTCTGCGAACCCATGGACGGTAGTTCCTGGAATTCTCCAGGCCAGAATACCCAAAGTGGGTATCCTTTCCCTTGGCCAGGGAGTCTTCCCAAACCAGGGATCAAACCCAGGTCTCCTGTATTGCAGGCTGATTCTTTACCAGCTGAGCCACAAGCGAAGCTGCATAAGTAGGTAAGGCAGGTACTTTCATTACCATTTTAAAGATACATAAACCGAGGTTTATGTAGCCATAATGAAGGACTCCCAAGGTCGAATACAGCACTCTTTAGTGTGAAGGCCTTGAGACTGGGCATGCATGAACTGGGAAGCAAAGTTGAATTACCATTGAGAACTGCAGCTCAGAAAATTTTCTGGTTTACTTGCCTACATTTCATAGATATTCTTCCCAGACAATTAAATTTCTACCATAACCACAATACGTTCTGACAAAAGTCATGTTCGTGTATCTACAGAGTGGAGTTTTTTTTTTTTTTCTTCTACTTTTGTGAAAGTATTAGTTGCTCAGTCGTGTCCGACTCTCATGGACTATACAGCCCACCAGGCTCCTCTGGGCCATGGAACTCTCCAGGCAAGAATACTGGAGTGGGTTGCCATTTCCTTCTCCAGGGGATCTTCCCGGCCTGGGGATTGAAACTGGGTCTCCTGCATTACAGGCAGATTCTTTACCATCTGGGCCACCAGGGAAGCCTCTTCTTGTGTGAAACAGCCTGAAAACAGTTCCCCCTTGCAGTACTTCCGAGTGTACCTTCACTAAAGTTGAAAGAGCGCGCAGTTAGTATTTCTGTGCGTCCCCGGCCCCGCTGCTGGGTTCCCGCGGTCCAGAGTAACCAGTCTACAGGTAGGCGGTCTTTTCCCTCTTGCTTCAGAGCATCTCTTTTCTGCCCAGAGGTTGCCTCTTTCTCATCCACCAGCTCAAGAAGCCTGGCGGCTTTTCGCTCCAGCCTGGACAGCGCTGCCTGGGCTGCGGCTCTCCGGCAGCTGCTCTTCGTTCACCGAAGAGATGTCCCCACGATTCGGCAGTAAAGCAGATCAAGTCCCCACGGACTCCTGTGGCCCAATTCCCGCCCGTCCAGCTGTGGGAATCAGGCTTTTCCCGGAGAAAACCCCAGGAATCTAATTTAGAGAAAACTCCTAAGTCCCACCCACCCCCAAACCCGCTCCCAGCCCCAGAGGAAACTGGAAAACCAGGAGAAATTCCTTTCCCCCGCTGTGATACGTGCACGCAGGCAGCCGCGGGGGCTGCCTCGGGAGCAGCGACTGCGTCCTTCGGGTCAGCGAACGCAGGCAGAAGACAGACAACAGGCATCAAAAAAGTTCCTGCTAGACTGCAGAGGAGGGTGGAGAGGAGCGGGGCGGTGAGAGACGAAATTCCCGTGGTCCAGCTGTCCTGAGAATGAAAATAGCCTGACTGGCTCTCCAGGGATGGGCGGCCTCGCGGCGCAGGGAGAAATCCCGGCTGGCGCAGGTTGGCGTCCCGCGCCAAATTCAGGTTCAAGAGCACCCGAGCGGGCAGTGGACTCTGCGTTTCTAGGTACCGCGTCTATTGAAGTCACATGCAGGGTTAAGGTGATTCTTGACGGAGGCTTGAGGAAATGATGGGAAGCCCTGAAAAGGTCTGACACGTCCAGTTCTCCGAGGTGTTTTGTTTTTTGTTTTTTTAATAGAAGATCGGGGAAGCATCACCATCAACCAATACGCAGAGGAACCCGCGCGTCCCAGCCCCACCCCTGCAGCAGTGATGCAAAAAAGACAAATCGCCGACGTAGGAAGTTGGGATAAAGGAAAATCCTGCGGGGAGAGGAGGTGGCGAGAGTAGGCACCGAGCAGCCTCCAACCACTGGGGCGAGAGGGAGCGCGATCTGGGGAAACTCCGTATTAATAAGTTGAGTTTGGAATCCAGGGCTTTCGGAGACTCGGAGCGCCCCTTCCCGGCTCCGCCAGAGTTGAGAAAGGGCGGGGCAGGGAAGGAGACGGGCGACTCCACCAAGAGCGGCTGAGCCGGCTGGTGGGACTCTGCGCCCGGAGACGCCGGAAAAAGAGGGAGCAGGGCCCGGCTGGCGGCGAGCGCGGGCAGGAGGGAGCGCCCCGCGTGAGGAGGCGGGAAGGGAACTGGCCTCCGCCGAGGCCGAGGGGGCGCTGCACGGACAGCATGCGATTCTCCGGGAGCCCCAGCGCGGGGCCCGAGAGCAACTCCAGCCGGTGGTGGCCTCTGGCTGCCGGAGGTGCCAACACCAGCGGGGACTCGGAGGCGCTCGGGGAAGACGGCGGCCCGCAGGCGGACACGCGCAACGAGGAGCTGGCCAAGCTGGAGATTGCCGTGCTGGCCGTGATTTTCGTGGTGGCCGTGCTGGGTAACGGCAGTGTGCTGCTGGCGCTGCACCGCACGCCTCGCAAGACGGCCCGCATGCACCTCTTCATCCGCCACCTCAGCCTGGCCGACCTGGCCGTCGCCTTCTTCCAGGTGCTCCCGCAGCTGGGCTGGGACATCACCTACCGCTTCCGCGGACCCGACGGGCTGTGCCGCGTGGTGAAGCACATGCAGGTGTTCGCCATGTTCGCCTCGGCCTACATGCTGGTGGTCATGACCGCCGACCGCTACATCGCCGTGTGCCACCCGCTGAAGACGCTGCAGCAGCCCGCGCGCCGCTCGCGCCTCATGATCGCAGCCGCCTGGGTGCTGAGTTTCGTGCTGAGCACCCCGCAGTACTTCGTCTTCTCCGTGGTCGAGGTGAGCAACGTCACCAGGACCTACGACTGCTGGGCCAACTTCATCCAGCCCTGGGGTCTCCCGGCCTACGTGACCTGGATGACCGGCAGCGTGTTCCTGGCGCCCGTGGTCATCCTAGGCACCTGCTACGGTTTCATCTGCTACCACATCTGGCGCAACGTCCGCGGAAAGACCGCGGGGCGCGCGGGCACCGGCGCCCCCGCCGAGGGCGCGGGCGAAGGCGCCTTGCGCCGAGGAGTCCTGCACGCACGATGTGTGAGCAGCGTGAAGACCATCTCCCGCGCCAAGATCCGCACCGTGAAGATGACCTTCGTGATCGTGACGGCCTACATCGTTTGCTGGGCGCCCTTCTTCATCATCCAGATGTGGTCTGCCTGGGATAAGAATTTCTCCTGGGTCGGTAGGTGTAGGTGTCGGGACCGCGGAGGAAGGTGAAGGAATGGGGGCTCTGTGTTGGGGATGGGGGGAGTTGTTGAGGGAGAGCGAAGTGGGGGGAGAGAGAGAGTCTTTTCATAACATCCTCTAGGGCCATAGTTCTTAACTTCGTGAATGAGAATCACACCTTCAGTGGAATGGTTAAAAGATACTATAACCAGCCCCTAAAACCACAAATCCAGAAACTGTGCCCTCCGGTCAGCCACGCAGTTACAAAACAGAAAAATTGACTGCCAAAGCTGTAACAGCAGTGTTAATTCCCTGCTTTCAAGTCTGCTGGATTCAGGGAAATATTTATACTGCCACAACTGCTTTTTGCTAGCTTGTGAAAAGTAACACACTGTAAAATTTTTGTAGAAATGCCCTAAAGTAAGGGTAAAACAGACGTATTTTTCTGAAGAAAGATTTTTTAATTGTTTTAAAGTTTTATTTATTCCTCATCCAGCCAACAAATATTATTGTGCATATTTTATGCTTGGTCCTAGGGGTATGAAGATTAAGCTTGTTGAAGGAAGATTCTTAAGTCATTTCAATTTGGCATTTAGCTAGTGTTCCATCTCTTAACAGAATGTTTTAATTTTTTTCACTGTGCGTAGGTATGTTAATGATTTTCATTCTTTTTGAATAGAATCTTGGTCACAGATCATGATCACCTTTAAGATTTGCATGTTAACATAAAGTTTGATGAAATGATCTGTAATTTATTCTGGCATAACAAGATTGAGAAGACCCAAGTTTATATTTAATAAGGAAGTGTCAGTGCTTGCCAATTATTCTTATCTTTAGAAAAAGTATATTCTCAGTGCCTAGTTCTACTGTGAAAGGTTGTATTTATATGGTTTGACAATGCAATTACACATGCACAAAATGGTTCAAAAGACTGTTGGAATTTCTTAATTCCTCTGTTCTCCATAATATAATTTAGTTGTTCAAACCACAATCAAAGAGGGTTTTCTTTTAAAACTAAAAGAAGTTTCTAATTAGCCAAAGAAAATAACTAAACACTGCATCCTTCAGGGACCTAGTTCAACTACAAAGAGTTCTCACTACAAGAATGTGTTTAATATTAAAACAAGTTTAAATGACTAAACATGGTCCATAGTGTCACACTTTTGCTTAAGTTGTCAGGATGCATACAGTTTGGTATATGTGGCTATGGACTCTTGAGATTTCACTGAAATGGCAGCCATTCTGTAAGTGTTGTCTCCATTAGCATATGCTAGTGGTAACACAAATGATTCAAAGTTTTATTAGTAAATGATTCAATATTCTTCGCCTCTTGCAAGTCTCCCTCATTCTACTTAAATACTTTAATAGTGGTTTTAAAAAATCTGAATTAATTTCAAGGCATCTTGCTCATGAAAATATTTTACAACCAAGCAATTTCCATTCACCAACTATTTTCCCGATTGATAAAAAAATACTTCATTTTCTATATTGACCCAAAACATTTTCCCACTTTCGTGAACCAATAAAAGAATGCGTTTATCCAGTGCTTTTACTTGCGTTTGATTAGCTAAATGCTGTCCCCTTGTGTCTTCCATACAGAGTCAGAAAACCCGGCCACCGCCATCCCTGCATTACTGGCTTCCTTGAATAGTTGCTGCAACCCCTGGATATACATGTTTTTTAGCGGCCATCTCTTGCAAGACTGTGCCCAAAGCTTCCCGTGCTGCCAAAACATGAAACGAACGTTCACCAGAGAAGATTCTGACAGTATGAGCCGAAGACAGACTTTCTTCACTAACAACCGAAGCCCCACCAACAGTATGGGAACATGGAAGGACTCACCTAAATCTTCCAAGTCCATCAAGTTCATTCCTGTTTCAACCTAAGCCCCCTGTGTTCATGCAGTCTGACTCTTGTAATGGACTTTTCAGCCCATTGACTGAATCCAGCTAGAATTATTAGACAAATGAACTTATATAAGATTAATCAATCTGTTGAGGACAAGACTGTGTTTCTCATTGCATTTTTCACATTGCTACAAACAAAAGCTATGAAATGTTTTATAAAGAATGTTAATAAAAACACGCAGTGCTAAAATCTGCAAACCTAATTCCCAGAAATAACAGAAGCCATATTTCTAAAGGAATAATCATAGCCATGCTTTATATTTTTCCATAGATTTCCTTTCTTTTTATTTCTGACATAACTAAGGCTTGATTGGTTTAGAAGTCATATAATGTAGGGGCATTATTTCTGAACAAAGTAAGTTCGTCATCAGCCTTAGGGTTTGAAAGGAATTGGAAGAGACTTTACAGAAATTATGTTTCTGTCCAGTAAAATCAACTTGTGTATTAGAAAATGCAGCCTCAAACTGTGGCATGGAGATGGGATGGTGCCTTGGAGAGACATGAGAGCTTGAGGCTTATTGATCATGGGGTGCCTGTTGCAGAGAGAAAAGGGGAAAGTTCTATTAGAAGCTATAAATCACCTCAATTGCAGAACCATCACTTTAAAACTGGCAACTTCCTCCTTTGGTTCCTCACATTTTATTGGATGTGAAAAGCATGATTACCAGGATGTTGAAGGTTAGAGAAAATGTTGTCAGCTGGCTGATGATATCTTTTTGCTTTCACTGCAAAGTTGCTTTAAAGTCAGATTTGTATGACAGATACCTGATTTTCTTAGAAGGGCAGAAAAGACAGATTGCCCAAGGGACTATGGAGCCTTTCTCTAGAACATAGGAAACATGTTTAGACCCTGTGCTATCCTGGATATTAACACCATCATTACATCCTGTTTGGGAATCCAGATTCACAGCTGTGAGTCTTCTAGAAAGTGACTCAGGATACTGAATGTCCCCTCATGATAAATTAAAAATAACTTGGTCCTTCCTTCTGATCTCCCACCCATCTAACAATTTCATAGTAGAGGAGAGACAGGATTGGGCAGGATGAGGGCAAGGAAATAGAAAACTGCTCTGCATTCTAGTCCTCCTTCCTTCGTTATTAAGTGCGTCACTTGAGGCAAACGACTTCAAATGATATAAAGCCTCCATTTCCCTGGCTGTACAACGGCACTGATAACACTTACCTCACAGGGTTGTTCTAAGAACTAAATGAAAAATCAAGTGTATGAAAAGATCTTCCTAAGCTGTCAAATGTTATATGAATGCCACCTCTTGCTTCTATCATAGTATTCTGGGGGGGGGGGGCGGTCTTCAAAACTGCACAGCTTTTTCCTGTTTACTTTTCACTAACCAGAATGTATTGGTTTCATATCTGGCATACAAAGTCCTAAAATTTAAATATAGCTCCGCTGAATCATTGGAGAGCATCAGCAGCAGCCACTACATCTAACTTCTGTCTAGCCAAAGCTTTCCAATTTAAAGAGAGCATTTGTTTTCCTCTGGATGCAGGTCTTTCATTTCCAGGCAAAGAAACATTACGATACTACTTGGCTGTTGTTACTGCATTCTGCATTAATGGAACTCGGTGGGGTTTTTTTGAGCTATTTTGTCTGGCTCCTTTTCCTTCTCAGATACCCTGCAATGATTTGAGGATACATCATAAATACTTCACGCCCCTTAGAGGAAGTAATAGTTATTTTGATAGCATATTTTTTTTTTTAACTTTGCAGATAAGAAACTGAGCACTGAATGGTACTGTCAGAGCTTGGAACCATTAACCTCACTCCTCTTCATTGTCTTACCTTTGCAAATTCTCAGGTGTTTTACTCCCTGGATTGATATGCCTAAAAAAAAAAAATAGTTTGCAAATGTTTGATGGAGATTAGCACCTAGGCTTTAGAATTCTGCTTTTTAAAAAAATAACAAATATGTCTCCTAAAGAGCAATGACCAATATGAGTCATCAAATAACTTTTTCAGTTCTGCATTATTTGAGTCACGGCAGCATCTCAATGTCTCTGCCCTCTGTAACGTTGTCAGCCCTTTTGACAACTTTTCTTTTGCAGCTCAAAACTAAAGGTGTTTGGGTTGGCACAAAGAGCCCACTTTTTTTCTAAACCCAATTCCAAAACAATAACCTCATAGTTCTTGTATAGATTATTTAAAAATGTTGACATGTATCTCCCAGTGAAAACTTTCAGTTTGAATCTCATTTCTAGGAACATCTCTCAACTAAGGTACAAATTAACCCCCCAGCTGTGTTCTCTCCTTTTAAATGCATCAAGGGATGAGACAGTAGAACAATGACTGAGGAGACACCAGAAGATCTGGGTGGTAGCTCTGCACTAGGTAAGTTCATGGTCTTGTTCCCTGTGGTTTAGGCTGAGAAGTTTAACTCATCAAGCTGCTAATCTTTCCTAATGATATACACCCAGAAATGGTATTTATATCTCCCAAAACAATATCCCAGATTGGAAGAGTCCGGATAGCCTATTTCAGAAGAAAGAAAGCGGTAGGTGGTAAGGAATAAGCATGTGTTGGGAAGGGAAGATTTCCCTTTCTTGACTAAAGAAGACCTGAGATACGACAAATGAAGGGCTGCAGTCAAGGATAAACGTGTTCCATCAGCTTATTTTATTGGGCAGTTATCTGCGGGAACATCCTTCAAGTATACAATATAATGTATCTATGTGGGTATGAAAAGTGAAAGTCTTAGTCGCTCAGTCATGTCCAACTCTGTCACCCCATAGACTGCAGCCTGCCAAGTCCCTCTATCCATGGAATTCTCCAGACACAAATACTGGACTGGAGTGGGTAGCCATTCCCTTCTCCAGAGGATCTTCCCTACCCAGGGATCAAACCCAGGTCTCCTGCATTGCAGGCAGATTCTTCACCATCTGAGCTACCAGGAAGCCCCCTGTGTGTATGGAAAATGCAACTGATAAACATCTACCAGTGAGGAGAAACTAGAGGTATCTCTTTTGGACATTTGATAAATACTGACAATGAGAAAGTCATCTTTAAGTACATATTAAGTGCTTAATGGGTTAATTTTTGGACATGTGTCTTTAAAGTGTAAAAACAACTGTGAAGAAAATTAGTGAAATTCTTTAATTAAATACCTGTCCTACACACAGAACTTTCATCATCTGCAAATAAGTCTCACACCATAATTGAACAAAGGGTGGTTTTTGTTTTCTTTTGTTTTTACAAGAAGGTATTTTTATTTTATTTTTTGACAACACTGCGTGGCATGCGGGATCCTAGTTCTTTGACCAGGAATGGCACCCATGATGCTTGCAGTGGAAGCACAGAGTCTTAACCACTGTACCACCAGGGAATTCCTGGGTGTGGTTTTAAAGAGAGAAAAGAAAGTACTCTTACTAACATGCAGGACCATTCCAAACTTATTATAGTTCCTAGAATGGACAACCATTGACGATTGAGAAACACAAATTTCATTCTGTTATTCACAATAAAGTAACCAATTAGGTTAAATTTTATGTCTTTCAGACTCTAAAACCTGTATTTTTGTAGTATAATTGGATACTCTGAGCTTTACATAATAGCTTCAGAGTTTGACTCTGCCATAGTTAGAAGCCACCTAGAGAGAAACTGAGTCTCATCCTTAATCCCAAAGAGCAGAGACTGGATCCCTTTAAAGCCATGTACATTGGGCCCTTGTGGATTTTCATACTGGAGACTGCTTTAAGCTCAGGGTAGGGGCCGCCTGGTGTTGACCCTAGCGACGCAGAAGCAATGGCTGTATCCCTGCCCGCTCTCTCCCAGTGGCCCTTCCAGTGCCACTCACAGCAACCCCTGACATCACGGGGAGCACATGGAGAGTAAGACTAGAGAGTGTTTCTTGATTACAACTTGACCTCTGACAATTTGAGCAAAAATTTAAGAACGCTTCATAAAAAGAGTTATTTCCTTGAAGTCCCCAAGAGGGCCTTAAATGAGTTGAATCACATAAATCATGAGATCCTATTGTACACATAGGCAGTTTCAGAATATTGTCCTAACTCAATTTTTAGGTACATTAAATTATGATGAATGAAAATGTATATGTGGTCTACAGTATGTCAGTATCAAAAATATATATTATAGGTGAAAATTAAATGCCATTTCTTCTCTTTTATTATAAATAATATATATATATCATGTGACATTAATTTATATTTTAAATAAAAACAAATATTATAGGGTATATTAAATTTTCTTGTATTCCAAGGTCAACTTAGCAAATTCAGAAAGGAAAATCTGAAAGTAAATCTGACTGTAATATCAGAATAATTAATAATTAGTATTAATATAAAATAATTAGCATTTCCACACTTGAAAGTAGTTGTCTTTATATAATAGAGTCTGACTTAATATATTCCATGATGCTTTACTTCATTATTATAGCAAATTTGCTAAGAATTGATGTTGTATATTTAGCATTCCATTTGGGAACAGTTTTTTTTAAATGTTCTGCATCTCCTAGCTTATTAAGCTGTATAGAAGAATTTCAATGTGTTTTCTTGGGACAATTGTATGTATGATTACAGTTTTGAACAATATTGAAATGTTTTGTAATTATATCTAATATTTGGCCCTTTACAGAAAAAAAAATAAAACCTTATGGGATTACATTGAAATAACTGGTATATTTTTTACCCAGGTTTATTGTGTAGTGACAGCAGTGGCTGACTTTATTTTTCTGGGTTCCAAAATCACTGCAGATGGTGATTGCAGCCATGAAATTAAGACGCTTACTCCTTGGAAGGAAAGTTATGACCAACCTAGATAGCATATTAAAAAGCAGAGACACTACTTTGTCAACAAAGGTCCATCTAGTCAAGGCTATGGTTTTTCCAGTGGTCATGTATGGATGTGAGAGTTGGACTATAAAGAAAGCTGAGTGCTGCAGAATTGATGCTTTTGAACTGTGGTGTTGGAGAAGACTCTTGAGAGTCCCTTGGACTGCAAGAAGATC